CTTTCTCGCTCTAAGCAAACCTTTCTTTAACCCCAGTCTAGTCAAGTCCAACACCTGACTTGTAATTAATTTCATTTTGCTAACCTATGATCTGCACAGCCTCCTCACGGTTTAAACCCAGCTTCTCACCTGTGCTCGCCAGATGGATTTTCTGTTGCTCACCTCCCAGTCTGCGTTCTCCCAAGGGTGGTTGAAGAACGGCAGCAGCCTTTGTTCATCATAATTATTGAATAAACTCTCTCTATTTAAACTGCAACCTCTCTGTTTTCTGTCCAAGGCTGACAGACTCAGGACACTGTTCATATTTCTGCTGCACCACAGAGCGCCATCTGAATAGTTTTATGTTAAATATCATGCAAATGTGCGTGTCTGGTGTGCGATACTTTTAACTGTCATGTGCGCACTGTGTCGCGGCGCTGAACGGCGCATCCAGTGTGTGTCCCCCTTAAGTCTCTGATGTCTCTAGACTTGTGTATGTGCAGTTTCAGCTCAAAATACCTCACAAATATAATAAAAATGAAATAGTTGTGCCATTTTGGTGACTGTTACTTTAAATTCTAATTATATTGTGCTATTTTCAAAATAGGGTGGAGCTACAAATTCATGTGTGTCAGCATAGTGGCAGATTCAAAAACAAGTCTAACATCCTATGCTAATGGGTGAGGATTTACCCTTCTAATGGAGAGGGAGAATGTCAATCAAAGTGTTTTTACAGATGGTTGTTATGAAGTGTTTATAAAAAAAAATTACATTACATTTTTACTATTAGAAACTGGTTATATTCACTGTTGCCACACTGTTTAAATCCCTTATATGAGTAAATTTTGCACAATAGGTTTCCTTTGAGGTGACAATGTGGCTCAGTGGTTAGCACTGTCGCCTTACAGCAAGAAAGTCGCTGGTTCTAGCCCCAGCTGGGTCAGTTAGCATTTCTGTGTGGAGTTTGCATGTTCTCCTCGTGTTTGCATGGACCCCCACAGTCCAAGGTTTTTCAAGAACACATAAATCCTAAAAGTATCTTAATGCAAAAAACAAAAAGAAAAGAAATAAAAACTGCTGAGTTCAGGTCCTGCACAAGCCCTTAATTTTATGTTGCATTTGGAGATGTAATTTAAAGTTATTTAAAAAATTTTATAATATATATATATATATATTTAAATATCATTTCACAATATGCAAGATATCAAACCAAACGCCATCTTAAAAACATTTGATTAATAATGATTTTTGTAATTAAGAAAACCCTTAAGGGTTAAACTATAATTTTCTTAAATATTTAGCAGCTGGATGAGACATGGTGACTTAGTCACCTCCCAACAAAAAGGTCACTGGTTCGAGTCCCAGCTGGGTAAGTTGGTGTTTCAGTGTGGAGTTTGCATGTACTCCCCATGTTCACATTGGTTTACTCTGGCTGCTTTGGTTTCCCCTAAAGTCATGCAGTCACACAGTTATGAAGAAATGCAGAATAGGTGAATTGAATAAACTAAATTGGCCGTATGTATGATTGTGGATGAGTGTGTATGGATGTTTTCCAGTGCTGGGTTGCAGCTGGAAGGGCATCCGCTGTGTTAAACCTATGCTGGATAAGTTGGCAGTTTATTCCACTGTGGTGACCTCTGATGAATAAAGAGACTAAGCCAAAGAAAAATGAATGAATGAATGAATGACTGAATGAATGAATGAATGAATGAATGAATGAATGAATGAATGAATGAATGAATGAATGAATGAATGAATGTCATTGGACAATATGCAAGATATCAAACCAAATGTCATCTTAAAAAGATTAGGCTAATGATGATTTTTGTAATTAAGAATAACCTTAAGGTTTAAACTATAATTTAATGAAATATTTTTCAGCTGGGTTTGTCCATATTTTACCCAAATTTAGGTTGAAAAAGCCAAGCATTTATAAAGTGCATATATATATCTTCAAAAATTTGAATTTATATAACCTATATATATATATGTTGATGTATGCTATTGACAGAAAATCATAAGGTTTTAGGTTGAACAGGTAATAACAACATTGAGTGTATAACTCTAACTACGAAGTTGACACCCAGCATGCTCTTTATTTGTTTATTGTGAACAGAAGTGAAACATCTGGAAGCAGTCAGAAAAGTAGGAATGGAAATTTGATTATATTAGAATCGGGGCAGGGCGATAAAAGAGCAGTGGCATGAAACCAAGCAGACAAATGCTGCGGTAGTAAATTTTGGCCAAAAAGACATGAGGAAAAACATTAGTTCCTGCTCTCTGCATTGGACGTGTAGGGTTGCTGTTGTTATGTCCTGCTTGTCCTTGTGATTTTGACCCTCGCTTCTCAATATTTGTTTTGTTTGACCGTTGGCTTGAGCACCAAAAGCTTGCAGCAGATTTTTTCTGGCATGCTCAAATATCCAACACAGAACAGAGGAAACAAGTTTGTTTCAGCCTCGTGAACCTGATAAACAAGCACGGAGATACAGCGGGCCAGGTTATAAACTGTCGGGTTCAGAATGAACAGATGCCTTCATGAGCCATATTCTTCCCATGGAAATTAAATCTCCTGAACTGCTTCTCCTGGGATCGTGTTGGCATCTCTATGGTGATTTATGCTGGGTGGTATGATCATGGACACAAAAGAGAGCTATTGATTATGATATTCTGTAGCACTTGATATCTTTCAGACAGGGCCAGCAGTAATTGAGAAATGTTCCAGTGGAACGAATTTGTTTTGATGTCCACAAACGTTTTGGATATGGAGAACATTGGACGGCCATTCACTCTGACTTGCCAGTCCTTTTCAGAGTTATTTTTCAAAAGTTGAGTTCTAGGGTGCACATATAGTCAGCAGTAAGAATGACACTAGATCCACTGAAAACAAATCTTTGGGTGGAGTTATAAATTAAACATTTCCAAGGAATGAATTTCATTTCTGAGAAATGAACTGTCTGGTTTGTTTCCGGTGCCTATTAAATAAGGGAAATGAATGAATGAATGAATGAATGTGAATAGTTGTGACGCATGTACAACCTAGTATGTAAAAAATGTCTGCTGTCTCAGTGAGAGGAACTGAATATATAAAGACTAGTGTAAGCTATGAAGGAATGATAAAATGGAGAAGTTTCAGATTTATGAAATAGGTGGAAACTATATCTTTGGAGGCACAATCAACCTGGCTGGTAGCATCTCAATAACAATGGTTTATGTGATACTTTGTCTTTTTGTTCTATTCATGCTAGATTAATCAAGATCTCTGTTTACAGTAGCTCACAAAAGGGAGTCAAGGCTTCGGCCTCCTACTCACATGCTGATCCCAATACGTCGGTATGTATTAGAATCAAAAACCCATTCTTTAAAAAGCATTCCAGCTTTTACAAATTTTCCACCCTCAATCAAAGCAGGATGCCCTCTCCTTTATGGGCTTGCTTTGGTTTAGACTCACGATTTGGATTTTAGCACAGATGTTTCCATCTGAGGTGCTCAGTTTTCTGTTCATTGCAGTTTTTGGGACATCACTTTAGAGGATGTGGCTTTCAAGACGAACAAAAGAAATACGAAACACATCAAGTCATTTGTGCCACAGTGGATCTTTTGCACATTTGTGTCACTGGCAGAAAATGGTATCATGTTATTGTCTACATCAGGGGTGCTCAATCCTGTTCCTGGAGATCTACCTTCCTACAGATTTCAGTTGCTACCCAAATCAAACACACCTGAACCAATTAATTAGGACCTGAACACCACTTGATAATTACAGGCAGGAGTGTTTGATATGGGTAGCAACTGAAATCTGCAGGAATGTAGATCTCCAGGAACATGATTGAGCACCCCTGGTCTACATGTTTGTATAATTTGTTGATCTAATAGAATGTGATAATTCGTTCGGTTTTGAATGTCTCTACACAAAACACTTACTACATAATAATGGCATGGAATAAGAAACAAAGCATAAGAACTGGAGTATAAGCAAGTGCAGCTTTTATTTGGTTGCTCTGGGTGTCTTGTAGTCAGTTTTGTGGTAAGTCCCTGACCTCTAGTGGTCAGATTGAAGTTTAAAAAATTAATTATTTCTTTTAGTATATAATTATTTAAAAAGATTTAAGAGAAAACATTCTTAACCTAAGCCTTGAATGTTGTTTTTATCTTTTTTTTTCTTTTTTGCATGTGACTATGTTTTTATATATATATACTATATAGGGAACAGTGCACAATAGTTGTTTATTATGTCTAGATTCAAGGTAGAGCTATAATACAATACTCATTAAAACATCATGATTATACTGCAGAAAGTCCTAATGTGACATTTAGGGCTGATTTGAATTTAATTTTGTCATCAACTAGAAACAGTTGATAAACCATTTTAACATTCTCTGTTTGTTTTCTTTGTTTCAAACATACTGACACTTCCTTATTCTATTCCCTGTTAAAGGGACAATTCAGTTTAATAGGCAACTAGTGTATAAACCAGAAGGCACTGAAATGGCTTGAAAAAGATTCAATAAAAAGATTGATTGGAATCCACAACCCTTGTGCTTTTCCTTGTGTGTAACACCGAACACTCTGAATCTTCTTTTGAATAATGCTATTAAAACAAAAAGTAATTTCAATGCTGTTTTTATTGTACTGACATTTTTTTTTACTCTAATTACAAACTCTATATTCTACTACAGTCCAGTCACAGAAATGTTCTTGAAGTGGGTATTATGACATTATAAACTGTAACCAACATAAAGAAGATAACATTTCTCAGCAACGAGAACAGCCACATAGTAAGTTAAAATGTTTATCTAAAACTCAGTCTTTTACTGATTGTTGATTGCTTAGTTCTGGTAGGGAGACAAACCAATAAACTTATGGGTATCAGCTCTTCAACCAGACATATAACAATGAGCTGTTTCAGTAAAAAAATAAATAAAAAGGGATTTTGCTAACCTTTGATCTGGACCCTGACTACTAACTTTCCTGAATTTTAGAAGCCTACTAATTACAAATGTCTATGCTCTATTCAACAGGACATGGCTGGGCCTCTCCTCTCTGCCTGCTTGTTTGTACTGGTGGAGCATTTGTGCCTGCTACATCATATCCATGCGGGGGCATTTTATGGACACAAACCATTGCCTCAAAAGCGCCAGCCTCTGCCACAGTTACCTCTTCTACCACATGGCAATGAAGGAATAACACAACACCATTACCATGGAAAGGAAATCCCTCAACTTCCCTTTGGAAATGAGATGCCTTTGCTTCCACAGTATGGGAAGGAACGTCCACAGTTTCCCATGCATATGGGCATACCGATTGCAAGAAAAGGTTGGTAATTTTGCTAAACACTTTACATTACTTTATATTCACTTAAAGCTTTAATAGAATATTGGTAAATTATTTTCTCAGGGTTGCCTGGATAATTTAAATGAACTGTAAATGCAATGCAATGTTTATTTAAAGAAAGCATTTTAATGGATGAACCACTTAAAAACACCTGTCGTCATATTTAATCAGATTTTTCCATATTTTTTCCATAATATACATCTGGTGAATTATATATGTATTAAAAATATTTCATACTGTTTATATTTTTGACCATGTCATTTTTATCCATTCATTTTAACATCCTATTTGACTGTTTTAAACAATGCTTTCTTGTTTCTATTCTTTCTATTCTTTGTTTTTTTTTTCAGGTGAAACAGTTCCAAGAGGACAGAAAGGTCCTCCTGGAGAGCCCGGTCCGATAGGGCTTCAAGGGCCTCGGGGCCCTCCGGGACTTCCTGGTCATGGTATCCCAGGGCCTACAGGTAAACCTGGTCCTCAGGGCCCACCAGGCCTTCCTGGAATTGGAAAGCCAGGTATGGCAGGTTTGCCCGGAAAACCAGGAGGTATAGGTTTACCAGGGCCAAAGGGTGAGTTAGGACCAATTGGTGGTGAAGGACCAATAGGACTACCAGGACCTCCAGGTCTTCCGGGGCCACATGGCTTGCCAGGTGTGGCGAAACCAGGGGGACAAGGACTCCCTGGACAACCTGGCCCTCGGGGTGAACCTGGACAAAAGGGCTTCCCTGGCATCCCTGGCCTCCAAGGGCCAAAAGGTGAGAATGGTTTTGGTCTCCCAGGATTGCCAGGCGTAAAGGGACTTCCAGGATTGCCTGGACCACCAGGACAAGTTGGACTACCAGGAATTGGCAAACCAGGACTGAATGGACTACCTGGGGTTCCTGGGGGGCAAGGTAAACCTGGTGCACCTGGAGAACCAGGGCTAGCTGGAGTACCTGGGGAGAGAGGACAAATTGGACCACCGGGATTGCCAGGCTTTGGCAAACCAGGTTTAGATGGCTTACCAGGGAAACCAGGTCTACCAGGTGGAAGGGGCGAGCCAGGTCAAACGGGTTTAACTGGGGGTCCAGGCTTGCCTGGATTTGGCAAGCCTGGTTATCCTGGCCCTAAAGGTGAAAAAGGGCATGGTGGATTGCCTGGGCCAATAGGCCCAAAAGGTGAAAAAGGTCATGGTGGTCTACCTGGAATGATTGGACTGCAAGGGCCAAGTGGCCTCCCAGGTCCTCCAGGTCTTATGGGACCCCCTGGAGGCATTGGATTTCCTGGTCCAAAAGGAGAAGGTGGTGCAGTGGGACCAAAAGGACTATTGGGTCCAAAAGGTGAACCAGGACCTCAAGGTCTTCCTGGCAAGCCAGGATTCCCAGGAGAATTGGGGCAACCAGGACCTAGAGGTTTAACTGGTCCCTTAGGACCAAAAGGTGAAAGTGGACACAAAGGCTTACCCGGGCTGCCTGGAGTGCCTGGAAAGCCTGGTACAAAAGGAGAACTTGGATTTCCAGGTGAGAAAGGTCATCCAGGGCCTATGGGAATACCAGGATTAATAGGTCCAGCAGGACCAATAGGCCCTCCTGGTCTACCTGGTCCAAAAGGAGAATATGGACCACCAGGAAAACCTGGAATCCCAGGTGAAGGAAAACCAGGATTTCCAGGCCCAACAGGTCCTGCTGGTATACCTGGACCGAGTGGGCCCCATGGTCCGCCTGGAATACCTGGTCCTCCTGGCCCACCTGGGCTACCTGGACCTCGTGCTCAAGCTTCATTTTTTGGGCAAATACTTCCTGAGACAGGTCCTGGGCTTGATGGGGAAAAAGGTGGTTATAAGAAAGAAAAGCCTGGAGGAGCTATTATTGGTAGGCATGGCCTAGAAATGCCTGCATTTACAGCTCAGCTGACAACCCCATTTCCCCAAGTTGGACAACCTGTTGTCTTCAACAAAATTTTGCATAATGGAAACCAAAATTACAACTTGCAAACTGGCATCTTCACATGCAAAATACCTGGAATTTACTACTTTGTCTACCATGTTAATTGCAAAGGAAACAATGTATGGGTGGGTTTATACAGAAACAATGAGCCAGTTATGTATACATATGATGAATACAAGAAAAGTTACCTGGATCAGGCATCAGGGAGTGCTGTACTGCCCTTAAACTTTGGAGACACTGTTCACGTTCAGTTACCATCAGAGCAAGCAGCAGGACTTTATGCTGGTCCTTACGTCCACTCATCATTCTCTGGGTATTTGTTATATCCTATGTGAATATGTGAAAAAATGCATAAACAATCACATGTTTTTACATGTTTCTAGTACCACAAAGGCAATGGTTCTTAGTAGAAAATAAGACAATGCTAAATATATGATTACACGTACACATAATTTGAAAACCATTTCACAGTAACTTTAGGTATTTGTTCAACCATATGGTAAGCACTTTGTTATCACATTATTTATTTGCATATGACAGTATAATGATTGTAATTGACATTGACTGCACATCAGTGTAATATGATGTGATATTGCCATAATAAGGAATGTTCACATTGTTGGATATGCACTATTTTTCTGCTGTCTTAGTTTTTCTTTTAACCATCTCAATAAATTTCAGGAAAGTATGTGAGCACATGCAAACAGGTTATCTCATTAACTAACAGCATAAGTAAAATACATATCTAAAAACTTCCTGAAACTTTCATTTACAAAAGCTTATTTAAAACCCAATTTATCAAAATATAACTCAGTTGTATTGTTTGTCAGTGAGTTCATTTTCAGTTTTAAATGTGTATATGGCCACATAAACACTCAAACAGTCCTAGGTAAATGTCTGTAATTTATTTTAATTTTTACTACTGAATGAATAAATTTGTATATGCGCACAGAGACAGTGGAGCACACAACAGAGGGAGTTTATTCTTTGTTCATTTCTATGTTATTGTGGTGCTAAACTGTCAAACAAATATTAATTAAAATTTTATGTCAGTTTTTTTTTTTAATAAAATGTATTTACTGAAGTTGTGTGAATTTGTTATTAGGTCCACAGGAAAAAAAAAAATGTTTTAAATCTTGATACTGAACATTCATGGAATTTTGTGATAATCAGTAATACCTAGCTTGATATTAAATCAATGCATACCTCACAATATTAAGTAATTAACTCCATAATAAGTGCATGATTGAACGTATCATTCTGTGTTTACTCAATTCAGTGTGCAATTACATAAGCACAACTTATAACTAGTTTTGGAATAGTTTTTACAACTATATATGATATTATATATAGTTGTAAAATTATTGTTGATGCTGCTTATAATACTGTGTAACATAATGAGGCTTTTCCTCATAAATGCAAAAAAATTGTCAAATAAAATAAAATCAATCATGTTTGTTCTGTAGAGAGAGCCAACCCTGATCCTTTTAATTAGCAGTTTTTCTTTTGGGTTGTAAAGTTTAATTCACATAATTTTTTCAAAGTATGTTGTAGACTGTAAACTCACATTTTTTGGTCACATTTATAACACATGCTTATTTTCCTCATTTAAGATATTAAAAACATTTACAGATTCATTTCTGATCACATAACTCTGTGGTTAGCTCTTTTGGAAAATATAAACAGATGTTTCATTATAAAGTTAACATAAACTTTCTCAGTGTATTTAAGTTTTTGCTGAAAATGTTACATCCATAACGCTGGAATTGCTCACACATATAGGGCTGCGAATTAAAAGGGGGTTTGGGGGGATTGACCCCCCCCCCCAATTAATGCTTGATCTCCCCTGAAAGACATCAAAGCAAAATGTATGGGGGTAAATATAAATAGTGAAAAATAGTTTGCTCTGATCTGCATCTTAAATATTAATGTTACTACTTAAAATAATAGATGATATAAATTTAAATTTGACCACCCCTATAATGGATTATACTATTGTGAATTCATAATCGCATCAATCAATCTACGCTGAGAGACATGATAAGTTTTTACACTTTTTTTTTTTCTTGTAAAATAGGTGTTTGTTTCTACGATTAGCTGCATGGTTTATATAGTTTGATGTAACCTCTAAAATAGAGGATACTGTAGGTCAGAATACACTAAATATCCCACAAAACAAAGAAAACTTAAATTTGTTTAATTAATAAAATAGATATCATTTAAATAAATTCGTTTGATTGATTTTGTTACACAAAATAACTTGATCCCCTGATTGTCAATGTCTAATTCTCTCTGTACCCATTAATCTACACAACAAATGTGCTTCCAAGTCTCTCAAACAGACTAACAAAGACAGCAGAAATTTAACACTATTTTACTAATATCATCAATGTAATGCATAATTGAATAACTTATTATATTTATCAATCCTTTTCAAAGCAGAATGATATTTACGTATTCATTAATCGTTCTCGCTCCACACCAATGAGGGCGATGTTCTGGTCTGTCAGGACTGCCACATGTATAGAAGAAGAGATACTTTTGCTCACGTTTCTGCTGTCTGTGTGTGAGTAGTTTGCTGGTTCATGTCAAAATAAGGTAGGAGTTAAATATTACAGTTTTAGTATATTCGCAGGTTTGATATATAAATGCGCGGCTGTGTATTTGAAAAGCTGACAGTTTGAATAAACCTATAGTGCCTCATAAAGAGTCACTGTTACTTCAGCTGTAATGTTAAGGAAGCGTCAGCAAAAGCTGCAGAAGTTGTTGACTAGTCGTTATCTGATAATACGTTATTTTAGAATCAAAACGGCGTTAATATTGAATAAATGTATTTAACAATATTGTTAAACCTGTGGATGGGTGGATGATTATAGTAACAACCAAGTTTTTACAAGGTCGTGAACTCATAAACAAGCAAATACTGCTGCAAAGATGTATAAGTTACAGATTCTGTAAATAAGTTATTCGAATTAAAAATGGCTTTAGATATTGTTTGGTGTAGTTTGGATAAAGTCAATAAAATGTAACAAAAACGAAGAGTATTACTGAAGTGTAACTTTAGAGGTTTGGTTAACATTGCTATTCGGGTGTTTTGTCAAGTTGTTATAATTCTTAAAATGCCACAAATTTAGTAATATCGCGACAGAAAGTGTGTAGGTAAAGTTGTGTCATAACTTAACTTACTCCCTTTTTATGTCTTTTTTGACAGTTGCTGTCAGTCACATTCTGTAAAAATAAAGATGGTGTTAGTAAATATATTGAAGTCTGATTGTAGTTGTTGGTTTTATATTCACACAACGTTCAGTGACAACTGTGACAGGGTCCCTATATTGTTTACCATACTATGAACATTCGGTCAGTTATAGCATGTAAGCATGACTTCAAAACGACATTAGCAATATTTAATTGACTGTGTCCAATGTTGTACTTTGATAGTCATTGACTGCTAATATTATCTCTCTATTTAGAATGTGCAACGAATGCTTTTTTGAAAATATATTAAGGAGAAAGTCTGAATGTTGTGAATATAAAACCAACTTTACCTCCGTTGAAGTCTGTCAGTTCCAAACATTATGGCTCGAATTTTGTATACTAATATGTCTTTATGTTGAACCTTAACTTTAGCCTGCCTTGCCTCAAAATTACTAATACGTCGAAGAAGTAAGGTACATTTTGAGTTCACTTTTACCTCAGGTTGTCGACGGAGGTGGTTTGCCATGGCATCACGAGCAGGACCACGGGCCACAGGAACAGACGGCAGCGACTACCAGCACCGTGAGCGCGTCGCGTCACACTATCAGATGAGGTACATTTTTTTTAATTGGGGTTAATGTAATGAAATATTAGTAATAGAAATATATTTTAACATTTTACAAAATTTCTGGAGATATGACCATTCACAGTAATTCTTTCATTAATAATTTTTTTAGGATAAAAGTCAAATCTCGTTTCAAAGGCAGATTTTGGATTTAGAAATCAGACGTTGGTTTAAACTAACGTTACTGTTTTATATTATGTTTTATGATATAAATGCATGAAACAGGTTTTCTGTTCCATTAAGCTTGAGAACTCAATATGCCAATATGTTCAGGAAAATTCTAAAATCCGAAAAAATGTATTCAAATATTTTTTTATTAAAATAAAAAAAATAAATGTATAAGTGATAGTTCAATCAAAAAAAATAAAAAAGTAAAAAAAATGTTTATATTATATTCAACAGAAGAAAGAAACAAAAAATGTTTTGCTATAATTCTTTACTCATTCTTCACTTCAAACCAATCATTTATCTAACCCGCTTGTAGTTGTAAACATTTGAGTTCAATACAAACTCTGTGGATGATCAGTATTGAGAACAACTTCGATAAAAACATATGGAGGATCACTTTCGCATATCAAGATGTTCATAATATGTGTCTGTGCTGGCACACGCAAAGCTTGAAGGTAAACAAACAGCGGCTTATCATAAGCATCTTATCGATGATTATTTACACAGTTGGCATTAAGAAGAACATATAAACGTTACCTGACTAACTTCTAGCAGCTAAATGCGTCTGGGAAAATATTTAAAGGCTTTTATTCTCATAAACCGCACGGACGTAAATGCGAATGACTGTTCTGATTGGCTAAAGCAGACGTCTCATGTCAGCACGTTCTAGACGTGCACGCGCTCTTTCCGACAATCTTCCTTCTGCATTCACACAGCGCAGTATTCCGGCAAATTACCGGTAATGTTAAAACTTCTCTTTCCGGAAAATAGCCAGAACGAATTTACCGGTATTTTCAAAAAGGATCTGTTCACACATACAACCTTTCCGGAAAATTGCCGGTAACTTTCCAGAAAGGTCTGTATGTGTGAAAGGGGCTTATGACAGCATTAGGTTACAGAGTTCGCCTGGTCCTGTTGAACTGACTCTTCTCAATCTCTACAGTGTGGCCCTGAAGTCTGAGATCAAGAAATTGAACATCGCTCATGCAGTGGTCTGGTTTCTTGTCGCAGCACAGGTGCTTGTCAGCCAACTTAACCTGGTGTCTCATAAAGTAGTGGCCTCTCCATACCAGTGGGAATACACATATCTCCTGAGCATCATACCTACTGTCTTCAGTTTCATGGCTTTACCGAAAAACAACATCAGCTATCTGGTCATCTCAATGATCAGCGGAGGGCTTTTCTGCATCGGCCCTATTCTTTACGGGGGAATGGAGATGTTCCCTGTGGCTCAGCAGCTTTATCGCCACGGCAAAGCTTATAGGTTCATCTTTGGCTTCTCTGCCGTGTCTATAATGTACTTAGTCTTGATTATTTCAGTTCAGGTACACGGCTGGCAGATCTACTACAGTAAAAAGCTGCTGGATGCCTGGTTCACCAACACACAAGACAAAAAGAAAAAATAAGGGACTTCTGGTGGATGTTTAGTGTAAAATAAGTTTTTGTGTCTTTATTTTGTTTCCTAAAGGCTCTGCAATCAAATAATTGTTATGATTAACTGAATTGATCCGAAAAGGAGATCAGATTTGTTAAACCAGGATGTTCGGTGTCTGTCAAGCTTCTCATCCACTGGCTCTCAGCCCAGATCAAGACGTCACTGATGTCCGTTTCTGCTTGGGTTTGAACTGCTGGCTTTGTAATCTCTATCTGTTTTCACCATGTTTTCTTCACGCTGTCTTTTCATATACCTCATGTCTTATGAATCAAACTCAGAAGATCCACAGTTATTCATTTAATGAAATAGTTTCATATTTTTTTCTCCCCCCAGTAATTTGCTAACAATAAAATGCCAATAAAATGTAATCTTTAACAATTTTTGAATATTCTTGTTTAAATTCACAGACAAATTTATGATTGCAGTCATGTAACAGATCTAAATGCTAAATGATATAACATATATATAACATATATTTCAAAATAATAATAATAATAATGAGAAGAAATATTGCTCAATTTACAATATGGTTTGAATTTAGTTTGAACTAAGAACAAACAGTACTAGACTAGTACAGCATTTATTATTCACAGTTCAACATTTACTAATGCATTATGAAATAAATAAAGTAGCATTCTAAAAATTAATGCTTGCTAACTTTAGTTAATGAACTGTTAACATGAATTTTTATTAACAATTAATAAATACTGTAATAGACCATTTTGAAGAATTTAAACAATAACAATGGTTCATGTTACTTAACACATTAACTAACATTAAGTGTTACCAAAATATGTTGTGATATACAGTAGGAGCAATATTGGTCATTGAAATTAATTGGTAAAATACTATATTTTTTTCTCCTGTATGTGTACAGTATAAATGTTGCCATGTCTTTTATTTTTACATTCTACAATAAATAAATAATTTTATTTCTTTGAATCAAAAAACCCAAGGGAATTATTTATAAACATTTTATTTATTAAAAGGTTGCATGCCAAACCATTCATAAGAAGCATTGACTTGTCGTGCATATACGTCAATTAAAATAAAATTAAGTGATGTAGTGCTGGATAAGTTAGCAGTTCATTCCACTGTGATGACCCCTGATGAATAAAAGGACTAAAGGGGGTCACACACCACATGCGCCGATCGGCGGCACGCAGTGCATTTTAGAATTCTAAACATAGACTTTTTTATCAGTGTACACACACCGGTGGCTGTCCACAGTGCCCAGCTACAACTCAGAACACTGTTTGTATTTGTGCCTTGCCACAGAGCGCCATCTGAATAGTTTCATTTTAAAATATGCAAATGTGCACGCCTAGTGTGCGATACTTTCAACTGTCATGTGCGCACTGTTTGTGACGCCCTTTAGCTAAAGGAGAATGAATGAATGAATGAATAAGTGTTGTACTGTTGAAAATTTTCAAATGTGCCAAGCAGAATCTTTATTTGTGGCTTTTTTTCAGTTTTAAAATTAATTCTGGAAACAAAATACTAATTTTAATTTCCCCAAAAAGTTTATTGGAGAGATTTTTAAATAATAATTGACTAGATATTTTTGAAGACACTTCTATACAGCTTAAAGTGACATTTTAAGGCTTAACTAGGTTAATAAGGTTAACTAGGCAGGTTAGGGTAATTGGGCAAGTTATTGTATAACAATGGTTTGTTATGTAGATTATTGAAAAAAAATATCTCAGAGGGGGTAATAATTTTGTCCCTAAAATTGTGTTTAAAAATATTAAAAACTGCTTTTATTCTAGCCGAAATAAAAAAACAAAAGACTTTCTTTAGAAAAAAAAAAAACATCAGACATACTGGAAAAATTTCCTTGCTTTGTTAAACATCATTTGGGGTACAATTAAAAAAATAAATAAATAAAAAATTGAAGGGGGCTATTAATTCTGACTTTAACTGTATATTGCAATATGAATACAATTTTACTAGTTAAGTTGAATAAATGTTTGTAAAAAATCTATAATTTTAGATTAATTAGGGATGATTCCATAAGGGAGTGCCTAAAATATAATAATCTATAAACATATTCAATAAAGAAAAATATGCTAAATACATAAAGTGTTTTATTGTATTCTGAAGAGTAGAAATGTATTCAGGTACAGTAATTAAATAATCAAATGTAAAATAATACGGCATTGTCTTCGCTTTATAAATAATTCCATAAAATTAATCATTAATTTTTCAATGTTACAAACGGTAATTTTTTTTTCGCCAAATGATTTTACAACCCTCAAAAAACCCTTGCAAAATAATCAATTATAATTCAAATTCAACATTGCGTATATTTCGGCATGTCACCATTACGAGTGATCACATAACGATATTGATGCTAAAACTATTTGTGCAGCCCTAATATGGATGATTATTTCTCTAGGTCTCTGCTTTGAAAATAGGTTTCTAGGTGTGCATGTTTTGTTTTTATTTGCGATATACATCACGATATTAATATAGTTTCACAGATACATGGAATAAATGTAAAGAATCTATAATTTTAGATTGATTGGGGATGATTCTGTAGGGGAGTGCATAAAATATAACAATCTATAAACATATATAATAAAGAAAAATATGTAATTACATAAATAGCATTTGTATTTTGAAGATTCAAAATGTATTCAGGTATACAGTAACTAAATAATCAAATGTAAAACAATACTGCATTGTCTTCGTTTTATAAACAATTCCATAAATCTAATTGTTAATCATTTTTTAACGTTGCAAACAGTACCTTTTCTTACACCTGAATGCTTTTAAATTCCTCACACAGTTACAGGCCTTAAAAATAATTTTGCAAAATCATCAATTATAATCCCAACATTGTGTATACAAGTGATGCTACCATTGTGAGTGATCACATAACGATATCGATGCTGAAACGATGTACTATGCAGCTCTTATAGGGATGATCATTTCTCTAGGTCTCCCTCTTTTAAAATAAGTAAGTGTGCATCACCATCAGTCTTATGGATATACGGGTTCTAAATTAGCTTTATTAGCTTACAAAGATTAGTGTGTTTAACCTTTGCACTGTTTAGCTGTATACTTTTCTGGTTTAAGTTCTTGAGCAACACATTTCAGTCTTCACTCCAAACACACTGTCAACAAAGTATGTTAACAAAATTGTTAGCATCTTGGTTCAGTGTTTTTTAAAAGCTGTTTGAATTAGCTTACCATAAAGCTAATATAACCATGCCCAAAGCATGTACCCTTTGGTTAAGAGAGACCTCATTTGTAAAATGGAGTACAATATGGAAGAAGATGAACCTGTTGGCATGGAAACCTTGCCGAAAAATGTTCAAATAATAATCAGCCAAGTGTTCAGAAAGTATAGGCAAGGCAAGTTTATTTAAATAGCACATTTCATACACAATGGTAATTCAAAGTGTTTTACATAAGAATAAAAGAAATAAGATCATAAAAAATATAAAAATAAAAATAAAAATATTTAAAACAGGTTTAGGATACGAAGTATTCATGGTACAATAAACATTTGTTTTCATGATAGCTTTCCATATGAAATAAAGACACTATATTTTACAGAACGTTTGCTATAGAATGTATTACATTTCTTGTGGTAAATATTGTAGGGTTGTTGAATCTTGTTGTTAAACCAGTAAATTGCAATGATGTAGGAATTTGATGTAGTAATTACTCCATATAGGTTAAACAAATCATTAATTAATATAGTTTATTTTTTGCAACTGCAGTATGAGCAACTTTTGTTTTTGATGTAACTACGCCTACATGAAAAAAAAATACTATAGTAATTTTAAGTAAATAGTGTAATAAAAATACTATAGTATTTTTGAACCATATTATAGTTATTGTATTATACCGTAATATATATACATGATTAGTTCGTGTTAGTTTTATATATATATATATATATATATATATATATATATATATATATATATATATATATATATATAAAACTAACACGAACTAATCATGAACAACACATGTACAGCATTTATTAATCATAATTGAACATTTACTAATGCATTATTAACATCCAAGTCCATGCTTGTTAACATTAGTTAATGAGCCATGAGTTAACATGAACTAACAATGAACTACTGTATTTTCATTAACTAACATTAACTAACATGAACAAATACAGTAGTAAATGTATTGTTCATTGTTTGTCCATGTTAGTAAATGCATTAATTAACTAATGAATCTTATTGTAAAGTGTGACCATATATGTGTGTGTGTGCGTGTGTGTGTGTGTGTGTGTGTGTGTGTGTGTGTGTGTGTGTGTGTGTGTGTGTGTGTGTGTGTGTGTGTGTGTGTGTGTGTGTGTGTGTGTGTGTGTGTGTGTGTGTGTGTGTGTGTGTGTGTGTGTGTGTGTGTGTGTGTGTGTGTGTGTGTGTGTGTGTTTATAAATAAACTTGAAGTATTGGTTTGTTGTATTACATAGTAACAAGACAACAACATACTAACTTAAGTACTTTAATATAGTATAGTTTCAAGTGCAAAAACACTTTTCGCTATAAATTACTATAGAATTGTTTCTTGTGGGGTTAATAATAAGGAATAAGGAATAATATAAAATAAGGAAAAATATAAAAATGGTATTTAGTGGAATTTTTGCCTTCATAAGCTTTAAAGCCATGTTTTTTTATATTTGATATTTCAATTTCCTGGTGAAAAGAGACAGATTTGCCTTGAGTGTTTGCTAAGATATGTTTTACTACATTGCACACTATGCTTTACCTTAAAGCACCTCTTTCCAAATTTCAGTTTACAACAGTTTTCTATAACAGGCCAATGGAAGTGAACGTGTAAAAAAACAGAATACTTTAATATTACAGAGTATCCAGTTTACTAGTAATTTGTAAAGTAGTATGCTATAGGCCTAAAATGATTTCTACAGTTTATCGATTTATCGATATAGTATTTACCATTATGCTTCGGTAAATACTATATTTCATTTTAGTAAATGCTACAGTATAGTATGTATTTTTTTCTAGTGGGTCTACTTTTCAGGTTTTTGCTTGTCCACATATGAGCCGTTAATTTGCCTGTTGCATGGCGTATCTGAAACGAGTGAATGCCAGTAGTGTAATTTGCATCCAATACAATGCTGACTTTGAATAACAAAATGAAGTTGAGAAAAAAAGGTAATTTATCTTTAAAAGCGTGACATACGCCAATCTTTCACACAATGAAGTGTTTATTTACACGTCAAAACGGTTTGTTTGGCACTGATGTCATATCGTGATTGTGCTCGCGTGTTTTCTATCCTACTTTGAATCTCTTCAGGGTTTTTACATCCAATTATTTTATGTAAAGGGATGTTATGATGTTTATACAAATTTTTACGTTGTTAGGTAATATGTTGACTTATCGACTGAGATTGATTCAAAGGTTAAGCCACTGAAATTTAAAAGCATTTACTCACCTCATGTCATCCCAAACATGGACATGATTGCGTTGTCCAACTAAATATTTGTTTATATCTGAGATTAATAATGGATTATATTTACATTTAAATAATTTAGGTTTTTAAAATTTATTTTAACACTGGCCTATTGCTATGCATCTTATCAATGTAAAAAAAAAAAAAAGATATATATCTATCTATATATATATATATATATATATATATATATATATATATATATATATATATATATATATATATTATTTTTTTTTAAATATAAAAAATATATAAAATATAAAAATATATATATATATATAGAAGAAATTCATTATTAATTCGCATATAAGAGCTCAGCAGATACAAATGGAACAAACCTTTCTGACCCTGCACGTATCTTGTCATTTTGGTTTTTGCAAAACATTCCCAATACCACAAATACCGTGTCCATAAGCATGCCTCCTGAAAATGCAAATATCATGTCAAACATCTGAGTTCCGACTACAAAAGACAGAACCAAACAATGTGTGAGGAGGAGAT